AGGGCTCACCCACAGGTGGTCTGACTGTGAACCAGGTGCCAGGCCAACAGAGGAGGGTTTTCCTCAGTGCACTGGGAAGAAAATCTTCCTCATTGTCAAGGCCAAACAACAGTTCACTTAATGGTCACTGTCCCTGTTTCTCTCTCCAGGCATCCTCTGTCCCCCCTCAGCCCCAGCTCTGAGCATCAGGCTGCCAACACCACGCTTCAGTCCATGTGCAGAACCACTTGGTCTCGGAGCTACCCACCAACTCCCCTGCTCTCTGGGACCAAACCTTAGCTCCATCAGATCATGAACGAGCTTCTGTCTCCCTCCCAGAGACACCGCCATAAGACAGGAAAAGAGTGGCTTTCCCCAGGAGCAACCCCCCGGGTCTCAATCCACCCTTTGTCAAAGTACCCTCGGTCCATTGACACAAACATTCCTGAAGAGCCAAAGCCAAGATAAAGGTTCTGTCCACTCAGAAGTGTTGGGAGCAAGAACAGATGACTAGTTAAAGAAATTTTGGTGTATCTACACAATGGAATACTATGCAGCTGTTAGAAAAGATGAAACCATGAAATTTGCATATAAGTGGATGGACATGGAGAGTATCATGCTAAGTGAAATGAGTCAGAAAGAGAGGGACAGACATAGAATGACTGCACTTATTTGTAGAATATAAAGTAACGTAATTATGAGACTAACAACTAAGGACAGTAGAGATAAGGGTTAGGAGAATAGCTCCACGATTTGGAAGCCTGCCTCACTTACTGGGAGAAAAGGTAGTTGTGATGGAGAAGGACCACTAAGTAAAGGATGGTTGGAGGGATCACTCAGGATGGGAGATGTGTGCTCAAAGTGGACTAAGGGCCAAACATGATGGCCTCTTAGTATCTGTATTGCAAAACATAATGGCCAAAAGTAGAGAGAGAATAAGAAGGAATGTACCTGCCACAGAGGCAGGGGTTGGGATGGGGTGGGGGAGGTGGGAGGGATATTGATGGTGGAAAATGCACTGGTGGAGGATTGGGTGATCGATCATTGTATGACTGGAATGTAATCATGAAAGTTTGTAACTATATCTCATAGTGATTTGATAAAAAAAAATTAAAATAAAGACCACTAAAGTCTACTAAAAAAAAGCGTTGGGAGCTTTGGGTGAAATGACTTAGCTAAGGGCATCCCAAGAGAGGGCAGAGGACCCAGAGCCGACACAGAGCCTCATAGACACTGACCCACTGACCCAGAGGCCCTCATTTTGATTAAGATTATATTAAAGAGCAGTGCGGTACTGCTTAAAAATAGTCATTTGATCAAAATTATAGCAATATAATCCTCAGACAAGATGAAAAAAATAAAGAATTTTATTCCAAAATACTTTCATAAGCTCAGGGACAGAGCTAAGCAGGATATACAGCACTGAGTCTCTTCATCTTGGAGCTTTGGAAGGAGGGCCTGCAGGGTGAAATCATCCCAGCATTCCCTGGGGGAGGGGGAGGTTGCCCTACTCTGAACTTGTGGCAAGGGTTTGGGGAAACAGTGGGGAACACAAGCCCCTAACTCCTCATGGGGGGCTGTGTGGAGGAGTCTCCATGCCAGGAGCTCGGCTCTGGGGCAGGCTGGGGCCCCATCTCCTGGGGACAGGAATAACACACATCCACACTTGGTTCCCATGGCTGAGGGTTGGTGCATGTGTCCCAGACCACAGAGGAGTGGGCAACCAAGGAGAAGGACTTTTATTGGGGGAGGGACCTATAAAAAATTTTTATTGTTAAACCTACTAAATTTTTAAGAAGTATTAAGTTTTGAAATAATTCTATATATATATTTGTAACGAGCCTCAAATGTTGAAAACCACAGACCTGGTACTTTCCAGACTCTCCCCCATCACCACCACCACCACCCCACGCACACACAAACCTCTTCATTTGCACACTGCACAATCTTAAAAGAGGCCGAGAAGTAGCAGGAGAAGGAGGAAGAGTGAGGAATGACTCATTTGTGGAATATCAAATAACATAGTGTGAGACGAACACCCAAGAGACAAGGGCCAGGAGGATTGCTCCACAGTTTGGCTGCCTCATGAGCTGGAGGAGAAGGCAGCTGGAATAGAGAGGGGATCACTAAGTCAATGATGGTTAAGGGATCGCTCAGGATGGGAGATGTGTCCTGAAAGTAGACTAAGGACCAAACATGATGGCCTCTCGGTGTCTGTAATGAAAACTGTGATGCCCAGAAGTAGAAAGAAACTAAGAAAGAAGCTGTCAGAGAGGCAGGAGGAGGGACTGGAAGGGGGTGGCGGGAGGGATACTGGAGACATTGGTGGTGGGAAATGTCCACTAGTGGAGGGATGGGTGTTCAATCATTGTGTGACTGAAACTCAATCATAAGAGCTTTGTAACTATCTCACGGTGATTCGATTTAAAAAAAAAAAAGTGAGGATGAGGGGGGAAGCTGCCATGCCCTGCCATGCATGGTACAGCTGTGGCTTGTTGGTCAGGATGGACAGGGCAGTGTGATTGTCCTGGTGCTGTTGACAGGAAGCCTCTTACTGGCGGGTAAGAGGCAGCTTGCTCTTGCTTAAGCAAAGTGAGAGGCTCATGAGATCTCCCAGAGGTTTGCCAGCAGCCGCCCCTCAAATTAATCACCCAGGGCTGTCAGGCTGCACGCGGAGCCTCTTCAAATCCTCACAGCCGCTGGGTGCAGACAGCACCACGCTCCAGCTGGACGTTCGGGTAGGCCCAGCACACTATCACCAACCAGCCCCTCTCCTTCTCGGGCGCCCAGCGGGAGGGGCCACCTTCCCTTTTCGTCCCCCTCCGTGGCCTCAGCTGGAATAACAACATAATTCCCTGCGCTTCCACCTCTAATTCACTTGACTTGCACTGACGCACAGAGAGCCCCAGGGTGCAAATTCCCAGAGTGAAGGGCGGATGAATGAGCTCCAGACCCAGGCCCGCCGGCACAGAGGGCAAGTGTAAGCCACTTTCAGACAGCCAGACCCCGTGGGAGAGAGCTGCCCACTGCAGACCCTCCCCTCAGTCCTCAGCACGCTGCAGCTGGAGCTGGTGGGTAAGGAGCCCAAGCTGACCCGTCTGGATCTGCCCCTGACTTGGTGTGGCCTGCGAGACAAGGACTCACCCCCAGCTCTGCTGCAGGCTGAGTCACTAGCAAAAGACATGAGATTCTTGCTACCAAGTGTCAAAACTCCTCGCCACCCTGAGTTCAAGAGCCTGAAGTGCAGGCGTGGGTGAGGCCTCCCCACCAAGGGGCCTGCTGGTGTTTCCAGGTTCTGATGCTAAAAAGCAGGTGAGGGCAAGGTGAGACGAAGGTCAGGTGCTAATTTAAAGGCTGCAGTTGGTCAAGGGTGCCCAGAGAACACTCCTGGCCTTCAGACGCCCAGATAACAGCTAATGCGCCAGCCAGGCCAGTGCTTCTGCCTCTTTCCCCCAAGGTCCAGCTTCTCCTGCAGTCTGGGACATGACTTCTGTGCCGTTGCTGAGGAGGGGAGACTCCTGGGCAGCCTTGGAGTCTCTGGGCATTCCCTCAAAGACGGGATACCAGGTAGGGGCCTGTGCTGATGGGTGCCGAGATCTCTGGCCACACACCATCAGCTCTGCGCAACCCACTGACTGCGAGTCTCTGCAGAATCAGTGAAGCCGGGAAGGATGCAGAAGAACACCATGAGGGTCCTGGGGGCCAGAGTCCTCCATGCTGTGAGTGTCCCCCTCCCTGGGTCTGGACCAAGGGACAGGGCACAGGCCATGGGTTGGGGTGGAGGACAGTGTGGCGCTCAGGCAGGACCCACCTAAGACCCTCTGAGTCAATGCCCCATCTCCCAGCCCTTCCTCTCTGGACAACAGCAGCTACTCCTCGGGGAACGGGAGACATCGGGGCGAGCCAGGAATCGGACTCCGGGCTGGGGTTTTCAGAGGGCGGCTGGTTACCAGCAGCTCAGGGCTCAGGGATTCTCTGACCGGGTGTCCCAGCCGCATAAATATTTACACCGGGTGTGTGTGGAGATGCTTAGCTAATTGCTCCTGTGACGTCTTCCAGGGCCTTGGAGGGAAGGTGTAATTCGAGAGCCAGGCACTGTGGAAGCACAAACAAGTCTCCCAGCTCTGCCAGCAGCATCTGTCCCTGTCGGGACATGAAGGTCCAGGCAAAGACCTTGGAAAAGGCACCAGTTTAGGCAGATCACTTCCCATAGGAGGGGAAATTCCCATTGGAGGGAAAATGAAGCCTGGGTGCAGCTAACTCTGCCCCAAGGAAGCAAGACAAAAAAAAAAAAGACTTCCAGGACCAAGGAGACAAAGCAGTTTCAAAGCAGCGACTTCATCACTAAAGGCTTTGCACGAGATGATTCACCTGAGTCCTCTAAATGTGTCAAGTGAAATATAAATAAACGGGAACCCCCACAAATATAAGCACGTGCAAATAAATTTAAGCTGAAGGAAGTTCCCGTCCAGCAGCATGCATGAATGAATCCTTCGCACTCAGCAACCACCCAGAACACGGCCCAGGGCACGCGATGGCCACCCAGCTCCCTCCACTCATTTGGTGGAGTCTCTACGTGGAAATATTCAACAGCTTGGTTAAAAAATGCAAGCATGAGTGCACGTGGTAGAAGTCCTGGCAGAGCAAAAGAAATTAAAAATCATAGAGCTGGTAAATATGTTTGTGAGGACGCTTCAGCGTGTTTTAACACCAGGATTCAACACATTCCTTGATGTTACCTTTATCCATTTTTAAGCGCATGCACGCGCCCTCCCCGTGTGCATTCACCAACAGTGTGTCTGTGCACCTGCCCACTTTCCTCTTCCTGCTTGGACCCCCCCCCTTCTCTTATTCTCCCTCAGTCTTAAACAACACGATCAAGTTCCCTTCAGGTCTCCACCAACTCAGGTGCACGGGAATGGGTGCACAGGGCAACAGGGCTGTGCCTGCCAGGCTGGCCTTCCTCGAGGAGGTTAGTGGCAAGCAGCTGGCACTGACCTCGCTTCTCTCTTCTGCCCTAGGTCGTGGCCTCATATAAGCACTGCCACAGGTGAGTCCGGGGGCTCCAGGTCACCTCAGCAGGGATGCTGATCCCTGGGGATGTCACTTCCCATGTGTCCTCCACCTGAGCCTTGCTCATCCCTGTCACTACAAGGTAGAGAGCTGAGGTGGGTATTCTAGATGAATGTTCTCGAGGCACCAGCAAGGACAGGAAATCACACCACAACCGCACGAAGCTCATGGGGGTGCAGCTGCCCAGGCCTGTCCAGGTGCTCTTGAATCTAGACGCTGCCCAAAACATTCTGCATTAGCTACACTGCCCCGCCTAGCTGCTTCTAATGCTAATTATTAAATGCTAGAGAACCGAAAGAATTTAGGATTCACAGGATGACTGAACAAAGAGCTCATCAGGAGAACATCCACAACATTCTGAAACACTGTTAAGTTGCTTGCAAGTTTTCAGCGTGGGATTATAGTGGGACATCCCATGACAGAATACTTTGCACCCATTAGAAATGAAGCTTGGCAAGATGTTTCATAGTTGTGTGTGCGTGTGAGAGAGAGGGGGAGGCAGAGCATTTCCACAAGGATGAAGTGTTGATAGTGGTGGTCTTGGTCTAGGAACATAATCGTGGATTTTTTCTTCTGCATATCTGTCTCATTATTTTTCTACAGTAGCCGATATTTTTGTATATAGAAACAATCTCTGGAAACACCTAGACCAGGCCTGGGGAAGACAGACACGTATTCCCCGTATTGAAACGCAGACAACCTGTCTGTGCCTATCCGTGACACGAGGCCCAAACACAGAGAATACTGCCATGTTTTTTCATAAAATAAAGCCAGTTTTTTTTGTCTCCCACTGAATAAAGAATAAAACTAGGGAAGATAGCTCTATTTAGAAAGTGGGTCCTTCTCGCCCTTCACAGCAAGAACCTTGATAAAGATATCTAGCGCCGGTTTCAATTACAAAGACAAGAAATTGCATTTGCCCAGAAAAACTTGTTATGTTTTGGTTTTTTGGCTTTCTAAGGAAAGTGGTCTTGAAGGTTGATTTTTCTCCCCTCACTTTTAAAAGAGCTCTCAATATGAATTTCAGAGCTTGACTTGTCAAGGCAGATATAAGTAAACATGCAATGCCCCCAGCTGGCCCAGTTGGAGATTGCAGTACCTCAGTTAATGTAGGGCTTGGTTTGCCCGATGTGCAAGGAATTGGCAGACAGACACAAAGTAAAAATTTGGCAGTCTCACCATCAGGGAAAGGTGTTCAACCAGTTCTCCAAGGCACAGGTCAGGACTTTATATTATTTATTTATTATTTGTTTATTTTTTAATCATAGTGATAAACACGGGCTGGAGCGATAGCACAGAGGTAGGGCGTTTGCCTTGCACGCAGCCAACATGGCCGACCCGAGTTCGATTCCTCCGCCCCTCTCGGAGAGCCTGGCAAGCTACCGAGAGTATCTTGCCCTCACGGCAGAGCCTGGCAAGCTCCCCTTGACGTATTCGATATGCCAGACACATTAACAACAAAGTCTCCAATGGAGACGTTACTGGGCCCGCTCAAGCAAATCGATGAACAACGGGAGGGCCTTTACCTTTACCTTTTAGTGATAAACACATTTGCAAAGTTGTTTATGATTGGGTTTCAGTCATATAATGTTCCAACACCCGTCCCTTCACCAACGCACATTTCCCACCATCAGTGACCCCAGTTGCCCTCCTGCAACCCCCACCCCTATGGGGCTCTCTCTCTCTCTCTCTCTCTCTCTCTCTCTCTCTCTCTCTCTCTGTGTATTTTAAATCATCTAATTAGTAGTAAGTGGAAAAAATCACAATCATCCTGAAAACGTAGTGTATCTCAGAATTACGAAAGTCAAAAACACCTCTTTGGGTTTCTGCTCTGGCAGGCCAAGAGCAAGGAGGGGTTTACTTTAATAAAAAATAGTCCCATTCAGGCCATTTAGGAGGTATTCTGAGAATGGCTGTTTGAAGTCCTCCACCCACCCACTCACCCCCAAAAATAATAAAATTTCAGTAGCTGTTGCCAATTTCAGGACAAAACTGTATCAGGACTTTTCACTCGATGTTGGGAGTCCCACCCTGAGATGGGACACAAGGTCACTGCCTGCCTGTGTCCCTTGGTCACTTGTCTGTCCACATCTGTTGATTCGACCAGCCAGGAGCCTGTCCTGCCTGCAATAGCCTCTGTAATCAACTTGGCTGGTGATTTTTTGGTTTTTAAAGAAAAAAGAAGTTAAAGGCCTGGCGACTCATCCCACCTGCAATCCTTTGCCCTGCTCCACGGGGTAACCAGAGAGCTCCCCAAGGGACACGCCCTCCCAAGGTCTCATGGCCTGAACCGGCCAGATGGAGGCGGCAGGTGGGCCACAGTCATGATTGGCTCATCCTCGGTATAGGCCTGCGTCTAACCCAGCCCCGTCTCTTGCTCTTTCGTCTCTCCCTCCCGTTCTTCTCTCCCTCTTTCTCCTCTTCCTCCCAACTACAATCCATGCTCTAAGACTCTTAGAAATTGCAATCCCTTGCCCAGAGGTGGTGAAAATTAGTTGGGGCGAATTTATCCCTGCCCCTCTGGGCAGCCAGGTTTGCCATCCAAGGGGACAGACTCTGCAGTGCAGAGCTGCCCTGGCCAGGAGAAGCTGCCCTGGTCCTCGTCAAGCTGAGAGATCCGCTCCATGCCCTAAATTCCCTTTATCTTCCGGAATCTCGGAAAACCAAGGCTGAGTGCGGGAAGCACTAGAGCCTGCTGGGGGTTCACAACGCCCCTGTTAGACAGAGGTGGAGGAAAGTCCCATTTCCCGAGCCCCTTTCCCTACTTCACCCCTAAGCTGCAGGCCCATGTCATTTTCACACACAGGCTGGTAAACCAAAACCCAGATAAGTTAGACACCCCTGCGCCTGCCCGGGGAGACTGGACTCCAGCCCAACGCCCACTGCCTTTGATGGTGTCCTGTGCTCTCGGCCTCCCTTCTGAGCATTTTCCCCAGTCCAGGGGTCCCAGCTGAGAACCTCACCGAGGCACATGCTGAAAAGTTGCGCAATGAGCATGTGCCTGCTGGCACAGCCCGAGGGCCTAGGTGGCTGTGGCACAGGAAATATGGACCCCAGAACACGCTGGCACTGGGGGCAGTTTCTGAAAATGTCTCAAAACCAGCGATTCCCCTTTGCACGGGCTACTGTTCCTTTGTCAAAGCTCGCCTGAGGCTCCACAGGAAGTGGACCTGAACCCTGCATTTCACCCGCTTCCATGAACTGCGCCCTGCTTGAAGCTCAGGGGGGCTGGTGAGCTGCAAACCAACTCCCCACAGGAGATAAACCACAGAGACTGTGGGCCTGGAGCCACAGGACGGGGGGAGGGCACATGCCTTGCAAATGACCTACCAGCCAGGAGGATTCAATCCCTGAGCCCTCCAGGAATGATCCCTGAGCACAGAGCCAGGAGTAAACCCTGAGCACCACTGGGTGTGGCCAAGACACAAAACAACAATTAAAAACTGCAGAGATCATCAGACACTAAAAAATTGTTTTTCTAGTAAAGAAAAAAAAATCTTTGGAACTCAGTCCTGACAAATTTTCTCTTTTCTGGGCTGGAGTAATAGTAAAGCCGGTGAGGCAGTTGCTGAGGGTTTGATCTTCAGCATCCCATAGGGTCCCCTGAGCACTTCCAGGAATAATTCCTGAGTGCAGAGCCAAGCATTGTCGGGTGTGACCCAAAAAGCCAAAAAAAAAAAAAAAAAAGAGGTTTTCTCTTTTCTAATGTGAGCCAGTCCCAAGAGCTATGTCCCAAGGCATTAGCTTGCTCCTGTTTCTGTGCTCTCTCCCTCTTATCAGTTCTGTCTCTCGGTCTGTGCGGGCCTGTGTTCTGGGAGGCAGGTGGAGGAAGCGGGTAAGGAAAGAAGTTAACTGTGTAACCGTGTCCCTTGACAAACCTCCTGCACCTGTGATGGGCTCCTCCATGCTCCCAGCCAGGCTGGGTGAGGGCCGATTGCGCACCCCACGCTTGAGGGGTACTGACCCGAGCTACCCTCAGGGCTGTGGGATGGAGAAAAGACTCCACGAGACCCAGGGCTGGCTCTGCCACTAGTGTCAGTGGAGGTTCACCAGCCCCCCACCCAGAGGACCCCTACCAGCCCATGCCCACCCGCCCCCACCGGAGATCTCCTGACTGAACCGTGAAAGGAGCCCATCTGCCTTGGAGAAACTCTCTTGAAGTCGGCTCTGTAACTTCACTTCCTAGAGAGATAGAAAGTTCTGGAACTCTGCAGGCCAGCCACTTTTGCTTCACTCCTCTCGGCCAGAGAAGCACACTCTTCCCTTCGCAGGTCCTGCTGGGAATTGTTTTCGCTTGTGGTTTCCTGTGGGTGGAATTCTGCCATGGCACCCCATGCCTGTACCAGACCAACCTGGATTTTGGGGGCTTCGGGTTAGGGAAGGGATGACAGAAGTTGCCTCCATCTGCAGTGATAGAACTTGCCCCTTCCGAGAAGGCAGCTGCGGCCTCCAGGGGCATGAACAGCAGATGGGTGTGGAGAGCGACTGTGAGCACTGGCCTCAGGGCAGCCTGCCTGCTCCCATGAACTCCCACCCTCCTGAGACCAGGTCTGTCACTCAGGGCACCCCCTCACCCCCCACCCCCGTGTATAGCAATCCGTCATTTTATAACTGAGGGCTTGTTCCTTTCTCATCCCAGTCCAATGCGGGGAAGGCAGCTCTTCCCACACACTCCTTTGGGTGCATTCTCCTGCTGGCTGCCTGTATTGTCCTGGGGGCCTGGGGTCAGGCCTGAGGCAAGAATCCAGCATGGTCACCCAGCCCAAGGGATTTGGGGACCACACAGCCAGCGCCACCAGGCCAAGAGTTAAGGGAGGGAGTCCCTGGGCCAGAGAGACTACAGCCCTCAGCTCGGCCGACTGCCCTGGAGATACCACCTGGCCCTGAAAAGGTCCGTGTTGGGCAGAGTTGGGAAAGAACCTTCTGGACTAGGTGGGGTGCTGAGTCTGCAGCGGGCTGGGGTGGGAAGGACTTGCACAGAGGCTCCTGTGGGTGAACCAGAGGGGAATGAGAAAGGGAGGGGGGAGGCCTGGGCTCAGGGACCCAGGGCAGAGGCTGGGCTACAGGGGCCAGGACCAGAGAAGCTAGCTGATAGCTTCCAAACTCTGCTTTTGGAAAATAATTAACCACAAGCAGGTACTGCGGAGCCTGGGGGTGAAGGACAGTCCTTCCTTGTGTGGGGAACCCGCATGACAAAACCCTCAGCTGTGCTTATTTTTATGCAAGTGCCTTGTGAGGTAGGACAGAGCCCCCACCTTTCTCTCTCTCTCTCTCTCTCTCTCTCTCTCTCTCTCTCTCTCTCTCTCTCTCTCTCTTTCTCTCTCTCTCTTACACACACACACAAAAAACAGACACACAGAGAGACACATACACACACGTACAAACACACACACATAAACACACACAGACACATACACACATACAAACACACAGAGACACATACATATACATACAAACACACAGAGACACATACACACATATACAAACACACACAGAGAGACGGGACACATACACACACATACAAACACACAGACACATACACACATATAAACAGACATACAGAGACATATACACAGAGAGACATACATACATACATACAAACACACAGAGATACACACATATAAACACAGACACAGAGATACATACACACACATACAAACACACAGAGACATACACACATACACACACAAGTAGCCTGTCCCATGGCATGAGAAAAGCAACTTGGAGGACCAGGGACCCTCATGACTGCAAAGACTCAGGCAGAGGCCCCACCATACCCCGAGGGAGCAGGAGCATCCCAGCTGACTGGCCGGCCTCTGTCACAGCTCTGTGTCACCACACCTCCCGCCATAAAATTCTGCACCACTAGGGCTGCTCTAAGCACAGGGCAGGCAGGATCCCCAGAGCTTGCGCCCTTGCTCCTTCCAAGTCAGCTGGTCTTGAGAACTGGGCCCATTCCTTTGACTCAGCTCAAGAGAAAGTACAAGGGCTTCTCTGAGGGCTGGACCCCCTGGGAATCTCTGACGGGGGGTCGTAGTCGTGGGGAGCAATGCCAGGAGGGTCCTTGAAACCCCAGGGTGGGGCAGCTGCCTCACTGTCTGCAGAGAGTCGCTAATTTACACTGGCCTGTGCTCTGGTTCTTGGCATTTGCTGAGTTTCCGCTCAGTCCAGATTTCACCCAGTCACATGCCCCACCCAACACAGACTCCAGGGCACTGACACAGGTCGCAACTGTAGTTTAGTCCAACCAGAGACGGTAAAGGAAAAGGACAAATACTAAAGGGAGTCACAGAGTCTGCCTGAGAGGTAAAAAGTGCGTCACCTCCTCAACACTTCCTGGACACGGGCAGACAGAAGCCAAAGGTGGGCAGGAAATGACCTCTTATTGGCGTGGTGTTTGCTGTTTCAGCAAAGCAAACCAGGCACTAAGAAGTTCGTGGCACTGGTCCTAAGGTTGCTAGAAACGTTTATTTAGGTTAATTTAAAAAAAGGGATCAGAGAAAGAGAAAGAGAGAGGGGGGAGGGAGAGAAAAAGAGAGGGGGGAGAGAGGGAGGGAGAGAGAGGGAGAGAGGGAGAGAGAGAGAAGGAAAGAAAAAATACAGGATATTTTCGAGAGAGAAAATGTGTGTGTGTGTGTGTATGTGTGTGTGTGTGTGTGTGTGTGTGTGTATACAGGAGATTAGAGCATTTGTCTTGCAAGCACCTGGCCCAAATTCAACCCCTGACATCACAGGGTACCCCCCAGCATTTCTGAGTGTGACCATAGTGTCCCCCAACACCAAAGAACCCACACGCACCAGATCCAGTCAGGCATCAGCTGCCAGCCCAGGTGCCTGTGGGCTGCCAAAAGTGGCCCCAAGACCCCCATGAGCACTGCTTGGGAGTTCCCCGGGGAAGAGAGAAAATAGCAAAAACCATTTTTACCTCTAACACTTGTGTCTGTGCCAGGGACCAGGTGGGCTCCCTCCAGCACCATGCTGCCCTTCTGGTGAGAGCGTCCTGCTCCGGAAGGAAGAGCCTTTTTTTTTTTTTAATGTAGGTATACTGTTATTTATTCAGCTACTGTTATCTAATTGAATTGGGCATGAACTCCACCTTACTTTTTTTTCATTTTTTATAATTTTATTTATTGAGTTGGGTTTTATAATCCACGGCCTCTGGAGGCCTAGGGGGAGCCTTCTTAGCTCAGGGGCCCTTGGCTTCTCTTCCTGCTTCTGGAGATGCATCAGTAGGCGGGAATGCACGCAGGCACTTTGCTGGGCCAGTGCAGGTCCCGTCCTCTCTGTGGCCCAGTCACGTGTTCGTGTGTTGTTTTGTTGGCAGGTCAGTACCAGACCATCAATGAGCCTCTTCTGGAATGCGTAAGTCAGCTGTATTCTTAGACTTTGATATCTACAGAGTATGGGCTCTTTTCAAAGAACTCTGTGGATTTTTTTTAAATCCATAAATTACTTTGTAAATCACGGTGCTTCTGTAAAAAAAAAATAATAATAATTAATTTAATTAAAAATTCCATTCCAAATGGCATCACCATCCAAATGGGAAAACGCTGTTTTAATTCCTAGATACAAAATCACTTTCCAATTCTTCAGCTATAAAATGAGGATCAAAAATAACGTCCCATGGCCATTGCAAAGCTTGAATCAGGTGAAAATGGCATAATATGGTGCTGGCAAGTGCATGATAAAAGCATTTGCTCACACTTGTGAGGTTTTTAATTGGAACAAACTTCCTGAAAGTCAAGTTCGGAACCTGACTATATTAATATGAATTAGAAAATGTCCATTTTCTGTGGGTTCATAGTTTTAGGGCTGGGAATTTCAACTAAGAAAGCAACCTAAAATGTGGATTAATATTTAAATACAATTATTCATTCTTATAATATTTTAAGTAGAAATACTCTGAAATCATGTGAGACATGCAATAATAAAAAGATAATTTTGATGATATAATCATATTATGAAGGACTGATCATATTTGCAATAAATATTGATGACTAAGGAAAATGTGTCACTGTCACTGTCCTCCCATTGTTCATCGATTTTCTTGAGCAGACCCAGTAATGTCTCCATCGTAAGATTTTGTTGTTACTGTGTTTGGCATATTGAATACATCACGGGTAGCTTGCCAGGCTTTGCTGTGCAGGCGAGATACTCTCAGTAGCTTGCCGGGCTCTCCAAGAGGGGTGGAGGAATCGAACTGTTGGCTGCGTGCAAAGCAAATGCCCTACTTGCTGTGCTATTGCTCCAGCCCTCTATATAACACATATAATGTGATAAATAATTTTATTGTTAGATTGTGTGTTTAGCTTTAACATATCTGCAGAAGTACACTATGAGATAGACAGATGAAGAGATAAATAGTTCTTTGCTATTTGGAATCTGATTATTTGGAACAACCTGCAAGGTGTTCAGCTAAGTGAAATAAGTCAGAAAATGATAGACTCTATGATCACACTTATGGAAAATCTCAAAGAAAAATTATATAAAAAGAGATTAGATTGTTATAGGAGTGGTAGGGTGGAGGAAGGTAACACATGAATAAGCTTCTGGTTATAAGCGGAAGGTCCAATGAGGTGAGGTAAAATGATGACCCGCCCTTTCCACTGCTGCAAGAACTTGGTAAGAGAGTTCTCAGGAGTTCTCATCCCAAAGAGAAAGGTTTGGTTCTATCTTTTCCTTGCCTCTTTATTGCAACTACTTGAAAATATGAATAGATGTCAATTAGACATATTATGTATGATAATTATTTGTCAATCTATGCAACCAAGCCAAATCTCATGTTTTTACAGAAATGTATGTCTATTATTCTTTACTAAAACTGGGGGGTGGGGGTTATTAAAAGCTACGGACTCTGTCTCAGGACACACACACATAATCAGTTGATGACAATATATTTTATTGTGGATTATGGGTAAATAATACTTTAATTAAGAACTCCTGATCTGACAGAATATGTTAATATATGTACCACATTCCATTGCAAATGAACCTTTCCCCTCTCTTTCTGCAAAGAAATAAACCAAAACATGCATACCCAGTCTGGGTGTCTCTTCAGACCCAGAGAAGTGCCAGTTCCCCTCCTGCTGCCTGTCACATCCCAAGATAGCCAGTGACCAGGGGGATGAGGCTGAGTCTCACACCGCCTTTTCCTCAAGCAGGTATGAGACTTTCACAAAGAAACTCTGTTGTGGGCATCTAGTTGTCACTGTCACAGTTCGTACTCAGTACTGGCAACAGTGTCCATCTATCTGACCCATGAGGGTCCTGTGCCCACCCGTCCCCTACCCGAGTCAGCCTCCTTTGGCTGTGCCCTCGGCTCTATGGCCACTCAACATGTCAAGAAGGAAGAAACAACAATGTCTATCGCATGGTCAGTGTCATGGGCAGAGGCCAAAGTGGAACCGTTCCAGGCCTTTTGCTCACCTAATCTCTGGCGATAACCACATGAGGAGGTAGGTTTGACCATCTCCAAGTTACAGACTGAACATCTGAATCAGAGTGAGTGACCTCTGGAGATCATAGGTCAACCCAAAATGTGTAAGCTCACACAAGAGGGGCGCAGCATACACACAGCGGCTGTGGCTCTATCTCTCCCGCCGCCCGCGTTCGGTAGTCTCACCCTTCTCCCAGCCCGGAGAGGTCGATGGCGATGGTCAGGCGGAGGAAGGAATGAGGGCCAGGCTGGTAGGTATTAGTCGTAGTTTATTCTGATTTTCTCCTCATCTGTCTCTGCTCCTGTCTCTCTCTGTCTCTCCTCGTCTCTGCCCCCTTCTCCTTCTATCTCTGCTCCTAGTCTTCCTCCCCCAAGCTACTTCATTCTCCTTCTCCATCCCCCTTCATCCTCCTCTCTCTTCTGATCCACTCTGAACCTCTTCTTCCTTCTGCCCCCTAGCCCATTCCTACAGTACAGTTAAATCCTTTCTCCATGAGGAATTGGGGGAACAATTACACATAGGTGCGGTCACAATCAATAGGGGTAGAAATCAATAGGGGTAGAAATCTTAGCCTCAGGGAAGACCGCTCCTAGGACAGATCCTCTCTCAGCAGGAGGACCCACCCTAGAGCAGAATCCCATGGGCGTGCCTCTCATCTCCTTGTCCGACAAGCATATAAGAATATAATATAAATCATTTTGTATGGATACAGTAAGAAATATCTTAAACTTATAGAATTGCTCTCCTAAGGCCATCTCGATCTCAGACTACGGTGCTCAGGCCAGATAGTCTTTCCCACCCCTAGCAGGATCCTAGTCTTGTCGTTACCTCTGGATCATGACAGCATTTGTCTATGATCAAAGTCTTAACTTATAGTTAAGAATCGTGGCACATTGGCCTGGCCCATTTCGCTGCCAGGGTAGCTCACCGCTTGCCCTGAGTCCATTCAGTCCCTCGTCGGGACCCTGCTTTTGGGGTGTTAGGAACTAAGGGCAACTGAGGCTTAAGTCGAGAAAGAAGATGCCGGGGAGTGAATAATATTCAAGGCCAATCAAATCCTAAGTTACAAAGCATAATGTTAATGGTCTTCCTGTATCTATACAAAAAGGATATTACTTTAAGGTAAACTGTTCATGAGGCATAAGGAGAGGAGAAAGGCAATATTTCACTCATACATATAAAATCATAGATTTCTGGGAAACTGATCTTACAAATTAACAAAGTCTGATTAAGGGGAAAGCTGATTAACTGGGTGGGAAGGAGAGCACAGGGAAGCCTGTTTACAGATAAACACAATGGAAGTAGAAGTGCTTCAGGAGCACTGTGATGGGTGTAACCAGATTAATGGGTGTAACCAGATAAAACCTAAGCTTCTTGTAGAGGGACAAAGCAATGTTACCCAACACCAAAACAGACTGTGTGCAAAACTATACAGATATATGAGATGAGGGGGAGGGGAGATGTTTCTGTTTATAAAGCAAAAACCTTTGACTTGAACTTCTCAGTCTTTAACTATAATTGTTTTTAATTGTGAGACTGAAGAGAGAATTCATGTGCTGCCCAATCCACCGAGAGTGGGTATGATGGGTGAAAAAACCACCAGTTCTCTGCAAAGCAACAGGGCACTAATAGGTATAGGGTCCAAGCTAGGCTCACACAGTTTGCTGTTGCACTCAGGATGACAAGGCAAAATATTGGATGCTAGGCCAGAGACTCCAATTCTCTGCCTTGAGGCACCCAGGCACAGAACAACTTAAACAAACTGGTTCCAGACTGCGGTGCGGCTAAGGTGGGAAGGCCTGTTTCTCCCCATCCCTGTCTCCTTGGACCAGTGAGGTCATTCTAGTTTCCATATCAAAGAAAACCATAAATTCAAGGGCCAGATTTGGAAATATGCATAAAAATTTTGTTAATTGCATCAGTAATTTGCCTCCTGGTCATTTGGAATCTTGGTGGATATTTTAAGATGCTAAAAGATTTCCCCAACCTGTTTCACAGCCTACAGGAGTGCAAAGGACCCCGATCTCATGGCACATGTGCAAAGACTGGGCAGAACCCAAAGACTAAACCTATGTTTTAGGACTGCCTCAACCTTTCATTTGAAGACATCTCTTTTCCCCTCTCTTCTTTCGAGTATTTAATATCATATGACATAGTTTAACTCTTGCAAAACTTCAATCGAAAACTCATCGACCAAATCACTTCTTAGTCGTTGGATGCTCTCTGGGACACAAATGAAGGCCCAAACCCTCTTGTAAGTTAGGAAAGATGAGCATTTGGAGACTCAGGGAAGATAATAGAATTTCTAAATGATGGATAAGGGTTCTGTCTACATAGAAGGTCATTGAGGGGCTAGAGGGCTACAGAAGGTAGAAGGTAAGGAGTTTGCCTTGCATGTGGATGACTCAGGTTCGATCCCCAGCAACCTGTATGTTTGATCTTCTGAGCATTGCCATGAGTAATTCCTGAGTTCAGAGACAGGAGTAACCCCTGAGCATCACTGGATATATCCCAAAAATAAACAACAACCAAAATAAATCATTGAAAGCCCAATATAGCCCAGTGCTGACCAGATCCCAATATATGGGTGCCCAGTCCAGAATTTTTATGGTAAAGATCACAGAATCCATCCTACCATTCCCAAGTTCAGAATTAGTGATGATTCTTGGCATATAGAAATACAGCTGAAATTTTTCTATTGATCAGTCATCCCAATACTTTGCTAAATCATTTATCAGCTCTAATATCTTCAGTGGATTGGGATTTTCTATATACAAAATCATGTTAGGGCTGGAGAAATAGTACAGAGAGTGTTTGCCTCAGACAACCAGGGTTTGATCCCCAGCATGATAAATGGTCCCCAGAAGTGATCCCTGAATGCAGGACCAGGATTAAGCCTTGAGCACCTTCAAGTACGACCCAACCCTCCCAACAGGTAAAAGGTAAAGGTAAAGGCCCTCCCGTTGATCGTCGATTTGCTCGAGCGGGCCCAGTAACATCTCCATTGGAGACTTTGTTGTTACTGTGTCTGGCATATAGAATACTCTCGGTAGTTTGCCGGGCTCTCCGAGAGGGGCGGAGGAATCGAACTCGGGTCGGCCATATTGGCCGCTTGTAAGGCGAACGCCCTACCCGCTGTGCTATCGCTCCAGCCCTCCCAACAACAACAAAAAAAAAAATGAGGAAAGAAAAAAGAAAAATCTGCCTCCCACAAGAATTCTATGGTCCAAACCTCAGACTCTAAAATCAATAATGCTCTTCAATGAGAATCTTACATCCCCCTTGTCCAGCTGAGTTTCTACCTGACCATTTCTGTCATTGTTTATCCTGCCCTGACATTTATTTTGATGTCCCCTCTGGCCTAGGAAGGGAACTTAGGCACAGTTCTGGATGACACCAAAGGCTGCAGGAACGAAGACTACGAAGACCCTGAGCTGCATACGGTACAGTCATGGCAATCAGTGAAGCTCTCAGCAGCCCGACTGGTGAAGGAGTCTGAATATGCAGGTAATGCCTGACGTCTGCTTCAGTCTGAACAGGAATGGCTGCACTGCAGCACTGAAAGCGCACCCTGAGGTTCACAGCAGTGGGCTCCAACCCTGCCTGCAGGGCTCTCTAGCTTCATGACCCTGAGCATTTTCTTGGTTATTGTAGAACATGCACCCCTCCCCCGCCCCCGCAAGAGTTCCTTTGAAGATAGCATGCAATACACATGTTTCTCTCTTCCTGGAGCTTCTGGGACAGTCTGAGTTCCTGGCAATGGATTCTTACTGTTGTGGTGTCTAGCAGGGTCCCAGGGACCAGCCCTGAGCATATAAAAGTGCACATACAGATGGACAGGGAGCATGTGGGCAGTTTGCGACTGTGGAGATGTGTTCTGGAGGGGGCAGTAACAGGAAGGATCCTAAGTGTGCACGCCTTTGCAGGTGGATAATACCAGACTTCAGCTAAGATAGGCTGAGAGTGGATAGTTAATGAGTCGGTTAATAAATTGATGTAATGCACTATGTATTGGGGCGGGTATATTTGGTGCTTGGGGAGGTGTTGGGGTTTTTGTGATTATTTTTGCTTCGTTTATTAGTTGTGGGGGGTGACACCCGGCAGTGCTAAGGGCCTTTTCCTGGCTCTGTGCTCAGAGACAACCCCTATAAGTAAATGTGCTGTTAGGGATTTGAAACTAGATCCGGCCCTCACAGTTACCATATGCCAGGCGAGTGCCCTAGCTCCTGACTACCTCTCCAGCACCTTTTAAGACAAAATTGCTATTTCTTTTTTCTGGAGAGAAGTGAGGGGGGATTGAAACGTCAGCCAACCTAACCGTTTTGAGCATGAGAAAGATCTAGGGCTCCTAGGAGTAGCTCAGCAGTACAGCACTTTGCTTGCATGGGTGAGATCCTTGGTTCAATCCTTAACATCAAAAAACAAACAAAAAAAAGAGTAATAAAGACCTAATTTCATACCCACCTCTGCCTCTGTCTCACTGGGTCTGTTCATAGCCCCAGCAAGTGCCCTGATCTCAGGTCAATCTTCTGCTTTAAAGAAAAGACAAAAGCATTTGTGGTTTTGTGGCTCTACGGGCCTGAGATGAATCAAAGACTTGCCTTTGAAAGGAACAGCTTGTGAATGATGACATTCCTTTGTTCATTTAATATACAAGTTGGAGTCTCTTGTCGCCCAATCAGTGAGAACCAAGCAAATGACACAAAACAAAGCACAATCCTTGTTCTGAGGAAGTTTCTGATGTGACGGCAGACACAGATCATCAATACTATAGAGAATGTTGGGTGAATAATATGAAAAGGGGATTTTTCTATATTTGCGTGTCAGGGGGCTGGGTAAGAGCCAGGCAGTTTTTTTTAAAAAACAAGACAGCCCACGCCTTGAGTATGAGTAGAATTTACCAGGTGGCAGCAAAAATCCAGCTTTATTTGTGCGGATGAGCCGGGAAGCATCATTTCTCATCCTCCTGGCTCCACGTCATCTGTTAGCAGAAGTACATTCCTTGCCTTGTGCCCACAGTAGAATGACTCAGAGGATTCATCACTAAGTGAACCGTGTGTGAATAGTCATATGCCAAGTCCTAACATCAAAAAAAAGATAAATGTGAAGTCAAACCCTAGCCTCAAAAGAGAGAGAGAGAGAGAGAGAGAGAGAGAGAGAGAGACAGTAATTCAGACCTAATTTTATACTGTAGGGACTTCATGTTTTTTATCTGTATTTTCACAGATAAGCGCTATTTGGAGGATATAATAGAAACACCCCTCTCTTTCTACACCAAGACCTCTACCTCCATGGAGGGGCAAGCCTGGAAGAGCCAGATGAGGCTGGAAGAAGTAAGTAAAGACCACCTGTGAACCAACACGTGTGGGGTTCCTGGCAGCCAGCAGCACCCTGCCCCCTCATAGGGTGGTGCCCTTGGTAATCACTGGGTCCGATTCATTGGGGTCCCCTGTTGTGTTCTAATCCCGGCAATATCTTAACAAGGCAGAAGAACATTGGTATAAGATGTTCTATGAGCCAGGCTTCCGGTTCCACCTGCACCTCGTCTTTGGCTTACTCTGTTCTCCAGAAGCAGAATTTGAACTCAAAGCTTTTTTAACTATAACATAAAACATCTGCCTTGATTCTCAGCGCAATATGGCCAACCACTAAAGGGACAGTCAAAAAAGCCCCACAATCTCGCTAAACCTCTTTGTAACCTCATCTCTAAAACAGGAATAAAAATCCCTTCTGTGTTTGTTTTAAGAGATTATTTGGAAGTTATAGGAGGCGATCTCCATCTGAAGAGACAGTATTAGGGTTAAGATGCTTTCCTTGCTCTTGGTCCTTCCTGGGCTGATCCCATGCGGTCTCCTGAGCACTGCCAGGAACAACCTTTGAGTACAGATCCAGGAGTAAGCCCTGATCACTGCTGGGTGTGGACATGACCCCCCCCCCCAAAAGGATAAATTATGATGATCTCTTATGGGTGCAAATGTGCTAAACACAGTTGTGCGGACGGTTGGGGGTACTCAGGAGTGACCCCTGATCATGTTTGGAGGCACCAGTTGAGCATCATGCAAGGCAAGCTCCTTACACTCTCCACCCCTTCAAATTTTATTCTTAATAAAAATTTGCTATGGTTAATTTTCCCAATTCTAATGCATAAAATATAATCACTTCTGGATTTACATGATTACCAATCATAATATTTTGGTGCATTTCAGATCAATTTTTTCTATGCAGATACATCTCATACAAGGCGGTATAGTTTGCTATACCTGATTTTTTTTCACATAAAGTTACAAAATAAATCCCCAATTGATAATTAAGCATTAATAAGTATAATGTTCATAGTCATGCCATGACCTGGGGTGGAATTTTTTAAATTTTTTTAATTGCTTTTGTGGTCACACCCAGCAATGCTCAGGCGTTATTCCTAGCTCTACACTCAGGAATTATTCGTGGCAATGCTCGGGGGACCATATGGGATGCTGGGAATTGAACCCGGGTCAGCCACATTCAAGGCAAACACCCTACCCGCTGTGCTACTGCTCCAGCCCCTTGGAATTTTTTAATTCTTTTGCTTAACCATTGTGTGAAAATTCTCTAAAGACCGTGGAATTTTCTGGAAAATCATTTCAATTTATCCTACTGGAGTCCCTAGAAGGGGATTTTCTTTCACAGAATTCTCACTAAAACAGGCTTTTGTGTCCTCACCACGATGTTTTAAAAGCCAAAGAAGCACTGAGTGAGCTGGAGGGTAGGTTTTGCCTGAGAGAGGTGCAGGTCCAGTCCCCAGCACCCTATGGGCCTCCAACACTGAACCAGGACTGGCTCCAATTTAATAGAAACGCATAATTTTTTAAAGATACTTTGCAGATTTTGGGGGTACATTTCTTAGTGAGTGTGAACATACTTTTGAATATTTATAGCACGTTCTTTCTCACACATTATCTGTTCACATTTTAATATATTTAATTTTAGGGCTTCTGTTAATATTGACCAGGAGAAAAGACTACAAATTTTTGACCAGACAATGTATTTGCCCTGAGCACATCCACTAGATGGAATAAAATATTGAACACCTTCCACTTACACAGGCACAAGCTAAACGCTTTCATCACTCCCTTATAAACTCTTCCTACAATCTGAGCTGAAGGCCCTGGAGAGAGAGAACACGGGACTTATGGCGCTTGTCTTTCACGGGCTGACCCTCAGTTTCATCCCTAGCACCCCATCTGGTCCCCTATATGATCCTGAGCATCGCTGGGTGTTGACCCAAACCCTGAAAAAAGTATTTCTTGAGTGCCCTTAGCCGCCTCCCTCCTCTTAGTCTGTGTTGAATGTCCACCCTGGACACCCAAGAATGGCTCAGGAAATTGTGGATACAGATTAGTGGGAAGAGAGTTGTAGTCAAGCAATAAATAATAAAGAAATGATATGTTACATGATAATAACTTTGAAAATCTAACCCAGAGAAAAGGTTACTCTGGGGGTGTCTTTTTGAGTAGACATGGGAACATAAGAGTGGAATAACTGTGCAATATGAACATTATTTGTATAAGCTCTGTGTCTTTGGGTGCTCTGGGCACCGTCTCTGAGCCTTTCCTGTTTAGGTGTAAGAACTCAGCTCTTGGGAGACAAGATGGGCCTCCGTGTGCATGACATGTCCGTGAGGACAGGTTGGCTCCACCCCCAGCCCAGTACCACTCTACAAGAGACTCGAAGTAGACTGTAAATGCATGGGGAGAGAGGGAGGCCATGAACAAATGAATACACTCATTCACTGGAGATGGATCTCGTAAACTCAATAGCACTTGCTTAGCAGGAAGAGAGACTCAGGCTTCCTTCTAACCCAAGCTGTGCTTTGGGTCACACGGAGCCCTTTGTCTCCAGTTTCTCAGATGATTCCTTTTTAATTTCCTCGAGTAAAGCATTGTTCCAGGTGCCCGCAAGGTACCAATAACTAACCAACTGGGTCAAGGGCGGGAAATATTCCTAGGCCCAAGACTAATGTCATCCAATGGCAACTACTGTATGGGGAAAAGCAAAGAAACCTCCTCAGTGATTAAAAAAAATCATCAAGTAAAAACTGTGGAGTTTTATTAGCAAAGGGAAGAGCAGAAATGGTAGCTGCCCCCTCCATAAGGCCTCCCCTGAAGGACGGCTCCTGTTCTGGCATGGAGAGGAAGTCCCTGGGCCTTGCACACAGGGCACTATCGGGAGTGAAGAGCACTCTGGAAACACCCCTCGGTGCTCCAGCTCCCCCCGCCCCTGGGGATGCAGGGGAACCAGAAGCTGAGGTGCCCAGCAGCAGTGAGCAACTCCGGACTGATCTGTCCAGAACCAGGACATTCCCAGGCTTCATCGTGTGTTTCCACAGAAGAAAATAAGTGGTCTCTGAGCATCAGAAGACAAGCGGTGACGGGAGGGTTAATGGAGCCACCTGCATCCCTGTTTGGCCCCCATAGCTGGGTGCCAATGAAGAGTATTCCTAAAACCCTGTATTAGCCAAAGTTCTCCAGAAACACAGGGGCAGAGAGAGAGATTGGTAGATGATATATGTATGGAAAGAAAGACATAATATATGAGAGGCCTGGATGGATGTGTGACAGATGATTGATAGATTTTAATTGACATATATACATCCATGTATATCACACTCATACATACACATATATATGAACATACATGAAAATAGTATAACATGAAAAAACTATCTAAAGCCTGTCACATCCTCAAGGCCACTCCAGAGTTTCACAGGAGAAAGAGGCAAGCCTGTGTATCAAACATGAGCACTTTTGCATCACCATCCAGGATCCCTGCTCTCAGCCCTGACATGGGGGTACTGTGTTTCCATGAGCTGTGCATGTAACTACCTGTGACATACAGACACACACACACACACACACGCACAGACACAACACACACACACACACACACTGGAAATGAGCAGGGTCAGGATCACTTAAGTCTCAGGCTAGTAGCAGAGTAGCAGGACCTGGGATGGTTTCCTTAGTCATATATCAAGGGATAATCAAGCCCTCTTGTTTTCTGCAGATGAACAAACCCATTTTCCAGGACTTCAGAGGACAGTATGTGAAAGGTAAGGACAACGGACAAGCCATGAGGCTGAGAGAAATGTGTGCCTCTTGCCTTTCAAGATCTTCTCCATCTTCTGAGCAGCCTTGGATTTTCCCAAACATGGTGACCTCTCAAACTATCCCTCATTAAATAACTAAATTTAGTCTCCTGCACCTCTTGTGCTTTTCATCCCCTTACCTTATCGATGAAGGAATTGATGGTGAAAATGTGTATGAATTTTTCTGCAACTCCAGAAAGCAATTGCTTTGAAACATATGAGTTGCATAAAAATATAACTATGTTATTTCTCTAAGTGTACCCCCAGTAAGAACAATCTAATTTTAAAATGTTGACTAATTAATAGGAAAACAGATTTTAAAGCTCCAGGCAGAGCAACTCAATTTGGAGTTGAAGACAGAAGAAGGAAACTGAAAGGAAATAATGCATTTCAGTAGTGCCGGGAGCATGAGTGGAGGACAGCCAAGGAAATTTAATTGGATCACATCCATCATGGCTGCCTTCCTCATTCCTTCTGTGCCGCGTCTTCCCTCACGATGTCCAAATGGGAAAGATGACGGTGCCATGATTTACATTTCCCAATAATCGAAACATCTCGAATCCACCCTTAATGTATCTAATGCTATTATCTATATAATCTAGTAATAACTCTATATTGTCTTTGAAGGAAAGTCTAAGTTAGAATCCTAATAGAAAACAGATGGCACGTCCAAATTAGGATAATTTAAGGAAATTCATTGACAAACGAACATTTTTACTTAATTGAGTGGGTGCTGGCAAAGCACAGGGTTGTGCAAGAACTGAAGTCAATGGGGGTGAGCACTGTCATACCCCCTCAAACCAAAATGATGAGGGGACAAAGATCACCCATGGGGACCCAACACCTAGACAGTTAGGCCATTGCGGCCTGAATTTAACCTCAAGGCTCTCTCCTCTTTTCAGACTTGAATTCCCAACAGCTAATCATCCTCATCGCCAAAGAGAATCCTTTGTCTAGCAGCCTCCACCTATTGGTTGTGGTCCAAAAGTCACCTCATTAACAAAACACAAGAGACTCCCTCTCCACAAGTAGAAAATGTCAAGAAATGCAGGACCTCTGTACCAGGCAGAGAAGAAATGTGTATCCATGCACATATTTATCTAGACTTCAGTTCACAAGGCTATTGACATGGTTAACAAAACCTGCCATAGTCAAATAGAAGAAATGAAAGATGGTGGAGTGATAGTACAGCGGGAAGGGCATTTGCCTTGCATGTGGCCGACCTGAGTTCAATCCCCAGCATCCCATATGGTCTGTCCAAGCAATGCCAGGAGTAATTCCTCTGAGTGCAGAGCCAGGAGTAACCCCTGAGCATTGCTGGGTGTGACCCAAAAAGCCAAAAAAGAAGAAGAAATTAAAGATGGCAGTCATGGGGAACATTTAGAAAGACATGTAACTAAATTAAAGATAAAATTTAGGATCTTCTGGCCTTCATCCCTACTGACTATGAAAATTAAACTAATTTTTCTGAGCTTCCTGATATTCTGTGAAAAGTGGTTGTGGGATTCATGCTTCTTTATGTACTATTGCCTCAGTCAATAAAAGCAATCCCATTCTTTAGGGAAAGCAACAATAAATATAATTTAGAATTAAGCAAATGCTGTCTGTTTTATAAGGGAAGCTGGCCCATATCTGGGCACCGGGGCTACAAAAATACAGCGATTTTTAAAGCAGCCCCCAGTGTAAAATGAGATCAAAACTGAGATGAGACTCTTGGTGAAATCAAGACTCACTAAAGTTGAGTCTCAGAGGCTGGATGGAGCGATAGTACAGTGGGTAGAGTGTTTGCCTTGCACAAAGCCGCCGGGATTCAATCCCTGAAACCCCATAAAGAGCATGGCAGGAGTAATTTCTGAGCACAGAGCCAGGAGTAAGCCCTGAGTACTGCCGAGTGTGACCCAAAAAACAAAGTTGAGTCTCAGAGGGTGACATAACGTGTAAAACTCCTTCCAAAGCGTGCTTCTCTTCATTTCCCTTTTCCTTACATCCCTCCTGATCCTTCCATAATTGATGGTTCTCCATTACCCTGAGAACTATGAGACACTATACAGAGAAGGAAGCTGAAGGCAGGAAATTAATATAAATGCCCCCGTTTTTTAGAATCAACATTTTTCTGAAAAATGCTTGAATGATTTATGTGTTTATTACAAAATTCTGTATTTCTGATGCAAAACCATTCTCAGATAATTTATTCATTCTCACAAAGTGTCATAGAAAAAGCATATTGGTTAGCTCAGTAATGGCAGGATGTTATGGTGATATTTTTCATCAAGTTGAGCAGTTATAGATTTTATGTTAATGTTCATTTTATGTCATTTTTCCTCAATAATATTCTCACATTATCTGCAAATCATCAGATTTCAAAAACGTATCTTCTTTGGCATTTGACTTTTTTTTTTCCATTCCTGAAAAATGGGTGAAAGTTTATTTGGGAGCAAAGCCGTCAAATAGTTGTTTGTGATGAACCTGAACTATGAATCTGGATCCAGAAGGAATCATTTTCTTTTTAGATGAGAATACTGTACTATTCATATCTGCTGTTTCCCGGCTTCTTAATGCTGAGAATAAAGAGGGCTGAAATGAATTTCTCTTTGCCTTGAATGTGAACCAAGCACAGACGCTAAAGCAATTTCCTTTGAGGTGACAGGCATACCCTACTCAAGAGTGACTGTATAAAGAAATGCAATAACTATCCAAGAAAAGAGAGAATTATGTATAGGTGACTGAACATGTATAACCAGAAACATGAAAAGTTAGCATAATAAAATTCCCCACGGTGCTCTCAAAAGACCTTTCTGCCCAGGCTGATTTTAATGAATGTGAGAGCCAGAGAAATTGCAATCAAAGAAGAGATTATCTGGGCAAAGTAGTGCAACAAGGAGGATGCTCTCCTTGCACATAGATATCTCAAATTTTATCCCTGGCCCAGCATATGGTCCCCTGAGCATCACCAGAAGCCCTGAGCACTGCAGGCTGTGGTCAAAAAAAAAAAGTTTATCTGGTCAAACTCCTGGTTTCATGCAAGGAATTCTAGCAAAAAAGGTAGTGAGATCAGTTTTCAGGCAATTAGTCAGAGTCAGGCAGAACCTAGTGTTTTGCTGCTATATGGATGTTTACAGGATTTTACTCTGTTCCCTCCTATCTAAATTCATTCCGCAAACTTCCCTTCCTGTTTCCTCACTGATAAGCCGCTTGCCCAAACTATGTCAGGTTTAGTGCCAGAGAGAAAATGATGGATGATACTGACCCCTAGTGGCAGATCCTGGCAGCACACACTTCAGCAATGAGATGGCCTCAGACGCCCTCTAAAAGTGACTTCTGAAACTTTCCCTGTTTAAGACCCCTTTTCCCTAGAGAAACTTTTACACAAGCCCATGGCATATAAAATAGGAACACAAATCAAAAATCTACATATCCTACATAGTATATTTATTTTAAAACAAATGTTTCACAGCTACATGACTCGTCCAGCGTCATAACCCATAGTTTAAGTAGCTAGGATTATAGACTACATCCTGAACAAAAACAACCAGCCTCTGAGTTGGTGAGAAATTAGTTTAAGACTGTTCCTGGGTCAAATAAAAAGTACAGCGGGTAAGGCGCTGGCCATGCTGGCAGCTGACCTCGTTCAGTCCCCCGCAAGACGCATAGAGCCAGGAGTCAGCCCTGAGCACCAACAAGTAGGACCCTAAAAGCAAGAAAATAAAAAATAAATAAAAATGATTGTCATCTTGCCATTTTAGGTGTACGTGGGCTTCAGCTACAATCCGTGGCTCCCCTTGGAGCAAAGACAGTTACAACATTCAGTTCAAAGTTAGGGGCTGGAGAGACAGTGAGGTCAAAGCCTTGCACACCGCCGACCTGGGTTCAGTATCCAGCACTCACATGCTCCCTCCAGCCACACTCACAGTGATCCCTAACACAGAGCCAGGAATACAGGAGTAAGCCCTGAATGCAGCCAGGGGTGACTCCCAAAAAAAGGGGTGGGGAGAGGATAGGCTCAGAAGACAGGCATCCTATGACTGTTTGGTGTCACATATACAATTTCCACTGGGAAGTTCAGAGTTGCCACCAGAGAAGGAACAAACAGCTGGGCAGTGAACACCGTGACAGATCTTAACTCATTTAAAATAAGGTGGTGCCAAGGCACTGGGGCACAATGTCTCAAGCCATGGGTAGCCCACATACTAAGTTGAAGGAACCTGGGGTGTAGGTGCATGTTAAATTCAGCCCAACTGTCTCTCCCAGGAAGAGGTGCTGGACTGAGGGGGAAGACAATGCCCTTGGGGGAAGTTCTTGACAGAACTTTTTGATGCTCGGCAGCAGTGGAGATGTGCTGGATTTGAGGGCAAGGGGCCCTGGGCACAGGCCCCAGCTTAAGCAGCTAGCAGAAAAGTTATCTGTTGACCCCAAAGGAACAGGACCTGGCTGAAGCAGGATATCTGTGTGTGCGTGTGGGCGGGGGGGGGGGGGGGAGGGCTATTTAGAAATGCAGTCCAGGAGACACAGTTCCAAGTGTTCAAGATTTCCTGGAGGCGGGGAGGAAGAGGAATGACAAATGAGTTCATCTGATCGAGTTGCATCATTTTTAAAAGCCTACTAGGACAGAGAACAGGTCAGTCACCTCCCTCGCATGCTCCAGTAAGAATCCTCAGGGCCCGATATGGTCCTCTGAGTACCGCTGGGAGTCTCTCTTGAGCACTGAGCCAGGAGTAGCCTCTGAACACCTCCAGGTATGGCTCAAATACAAAACAAGCCAATCCAAACAAGTTAGCGAGAGAAGTGGTTTGATCGGTCATCCAGGAGGGGTTGGAGCCAGAGTTCTGTCAGTGACGACACTGCTCCAGGTTTTCTCATCCGCGTGGGAGGTTTCTCACTGGTCTGCCCTGTGAACAGGGGCTAGCAAATAGATGAAGTCACTCAAATAGATGAAGTCACGCAAATAGATGAAGTCAGTCACTGGCTGGGTGTCCATCCCAGGTGGTCTGAGGGGGGCTGGCTTTGGCTCACTCCTTCAAGAAGTAGCCAGGTCTGAGCAGGCACAAGGGCCTGGTTCTCTGTTCGGGTTACACAGAACCCAACAACTCTCAAGGGTCTCTTCATCCCACCTCTCCCTAGAGTTTTTGTCTCCATATGCATAAACACCAGGGGCAGCACCACCTCTGACGGCAGTGCTCAGTTTATTGTGTTTGGTTTTTCGGTTTTTGTTTAAGCTCAGGGCTTGCTCCAGAATCTGTGCTCAGGAACTGCTCCTGGCAGTGCTCAGAACACCTTATAAATTCCGGGGATCCAACCCGGTTGGCCACTTGCCAGGCAAACTACCCTGTTCTATGGCTTGCTCTTCTGTTTTTCTGTTGTCTTGGCTCTTCCCAGCACCCCACTTCCCACTTATTTCCCTCTCCCTGGGCAGCCAGCTCAGCAGAAAACTCTTTTCCACACGCTGGCTTCATAAAGGCGCTGCCACCCCACCTCCCTTATACTCTAGCATTGATACTGAAGGATGTGTCCAACCAGAACACAGTCATAAGAAATGCCCCCTTCTCACCGGCTGTCAAAGCAGGAGGGTCCCTCCTTCACTTTGTATAAGTCAATACCTCTTCCTTCAATCTAAAGAATTATTTCAGTGCCTTTTGCTGGACTTGATTTCTGAAAGTTTTCCAAGATTTCAAATATTTTCTCCAACAGCCTTGTCAGATATGCATTAACCACTTGGCTTAATAAGTGGCTTCTTCGGATTCTTCCTCAGTCACCAGGACGCGTACTCCTAATGGTTCACTTTCATATATCATAAAGCTCTTAGAGATTATAAATGCTGCACTTGAGGCCAAGTTTTATCTAATTTTTTTTCAGAATCTTTTTCTCTAATTATAGAACATTACTTTAATGGTATACTTTAGAAATTATTGATTTTTATGATCCTACTTTATAAAGGGTATTGCATATACTTAGCACAAATTGAGTAACTAAGTGGAA